TCATTTCGTTAATTGAATTGATAGCTATCATGTTAAATTGCCAAAAAAATTGCACACTTTCTTTAAAAAATAATGATGTGAAAAAAAAAAAAGGTGATGTGACATTTTTTCTTTCTACATGACATTATAACTGAATTCCAATTTTTAACACTAATACGCACCGTTTTACTGCTATTTATATACATTTTATAAACACCATCCACTCTAACTTTAATCTCTAGCTCCAAGCTGTGACACCCTTTACTCTCATTCACTGCCGACTTCTCCTTCTTTGACATTGACAGAAACAATAACGATAATTACTACAACAACGGCAACAACAAAGGTTATTTAGTATTATAAATTATAATTTTAGTGTAATATTATATGATTGGTTTTTTTTATTTGATAATTTACCTATGATGTTATATATATCACTCATTTAATAACACATCAAAATATTAAACTTATAATCTTACTTGTATTGTAACTATATTTCTATTAATTCCAAAATTTTTAGTTCCTACTTTTCTTTAAAAAAAAATTAACTTACTTTAATTGTTTGATTATTCCACCATCCAAACATGAACTTAACAATTTTTTTTTTGGGGATAAGTGAACGTAAAAGTTTAATAATTGAGAGTATTCTTAGTATTCATTTGGTATGATAGTTTAAGATAATGGTTAATAGTTTTGTTTAAATCATTATAAGATAAAAGTTTGATAAATTTATTTATTCTGAAGCTACAGTAAATTAGGTTTTTAATAAACTTTTTTAATCTAACAATTTAAAATTAATGAATAATAATTATGATTTAAATCGTTAGTGAATTTGATTTTTTTATTTTTACTAATATATTTATCTTTTTTTAATCTTTTAATTTCGTACCAAAGTTCTATCAATGGTTCCTAACCATGGTTGTCAAAATAGTGATTTTACAATTTTAGATATCCAAATTGAGTTAAAAAATCAGAGTAAAAATCAGAATTTTATAAATTTAGGGTAAAATCGTAGTAAACTCGTAAAATCCAAAATTGTGATTTTACAAATTTTAAAACTTTTAAAGTTTTGGTGTCCCGAAGCATATATTTGCCGTGGAGTGTGGTGGTGGAAATGCGCTGGCTGTTTTCAAATGGGCAGTTTGACCATGATTCGAGCCTTGGCTATGTAATTTGGCATATTTTGGTTTCAAGGAAAAAATATCAAGATCTCATTAATTTTTTACAAGCTAAACTAATAATTTTTTATGAAAATTATTTTTTAAGGTTAAAACTATTAAAATTTGAAACAATTTAATAATTATAAAATGAAAAAAAATTCAACAAAAACTTGGAATAATTAACTAGTAGTTAAAATTTTTAAATAAATTTCAAATTTGAATATTTGTTGCTAAATTTTAATAATATATAAGTTTTTAATTAATATAGTAAGCTTTCTATTTTATTGATTTGATTTTACCAAACTAAAACAATTTTACCTAAAATCCCAATTTTAACAATCTTATTCCTAACCATCTCTCTCCCTCAAATTATCAATAGAAGTTTAGCTATTTTAGCATAAAAATTTATCTAATTACAAAACTACTAAATATTGTAGGCTCACAATTTTAACATTTCATAATTGACTCTT